TCCCGGGCAAACGAGCAAAGCCGCCCAGGCGGCGGCTTTGCTCGGGTGTCCCTGGTCTGCTGGGGGGGTCCAGCGGCTTTTCTGGACCCCCCCAGCAGACCAGGGAGACCGGGAGAAGCTTTTCTCGCCCCGGAGGACACGGGTGACGACCCGCCGCCCGTGAGCTCCGGGGCGAGAAAAGCCCCGTTCGTAAGTGCGGATCCGATGTAAGTCGGGTTCACGTAAGTTGGGGACTGCCTGTAACCCATGCTGGCACATGCATATGGTTCTTTTCACCTCACTGACTCATTTCATCCAAAAGAACTGCAGAATGCAATTAAAGAGGAAAGATGATGACCAATTGAGCACAATGGTCTTGTTGCAGGTCTAATTATTTTCTAATTAAAATACTAATAATTTCACTCAATTAAAACCTGCTTTCTTCAAAGGTAAATTGGGCATGACATTCCAGTAAGTTTTACCAATATGGAACATTTGAAGTATTTGATATTTTTGCTATTCCATGATTAAGATCATTCAGGACAAAAACAATGAGTGCTACATTTCTTAAAGTGCTCATTTTTAAGGAATTTTAACTCACAATTATTAAAAAATGCCAATTCTCAGGAAATTCTCAGAGTGCTGTAAGTTTTGGGAGGATCAGGGGTCTTCATACATGTCAAGGAGGTTGATTCTCTTCTGTAAGTCAAAATCTCGACTCAACTTTTGACTTTGGAATAGCAGCTAGAACCTCCATACCAATAGATGGAAATTTTTTATCAAAACTATCTCTCTACCAAAGCAGAATGTTTTATACACTATATTCTAATGAGATGCAGTATTTTCTACCTGTCAAATCTCAAATATGAGCCTCAGGACCCTTAGGGTCTGTTTCCTGCTCTGCCAATGACTGAAAGTGACCTTGGGGCTCTTCCTTTTCTGGGACTCGGTTTACAACTGTTTACAGGTTGCACTATCAGACAGTGTCTTTTTTCCTTTTCTTACTCTCATCCAGTCACTGCTAATAGTATGACAATCAAGTCCTAAGCATTCTTGATCGTTACAGCCTAAAAATATTTGTACAATTATAACTCTTCCCTCATGCAGTCACTGTTTATCCAAGCTCTGTGTACAGAATCTTCTATAAATATTTGTTGCCTAGTTATATCTGTTGCAAACTATGTGGCCTAATTTTCAGAAGTGCGAAGCACACAGCAATTCCCATTAAATCAAAGGGAGCTACTGGCTGTTCAACGCTTTGGAAAAATCAGGCCATTAGTTTAGGTACCTAAAATGGACCTATAATCAGGCACTTATTTTTTAAAATCTTGACCTGTCTACAAAAAGAAAAAGATTGAAGCAGTGACGTCTAAGAGTTTACAAAACACCTTAATGCAGTGTTAAAACAGCATAGCGGTGTGTATAAAAGGGGTTAGCTACTGGAGTATTGCAAGAGACATTAAAAGTAGTTTTGATTTAGTACATGGATACTTGGTGGGGGCATGTAAACTTACCATTATCTGTCAAAATAACTGAATTTAATTAAGACTTCAATAATTCAATACTTGTTTACATTTCTAATAATTACATTTGGTTGAATAGTTCCTGACATGCCTGTAACTTTCACTGATCTAAACATCTCAGCAAACTGATAAACACTAGAATTAGGGATCAACATTTTCTATATAGAAAGGGAATATTAAAGTTTTACGTGACACTGCGCAATTAGACTTAGAATTTGGGATTTGATTTCTTTTTGATACGTTATGACAACCCACATTAAGTTCATCCACATAAATGCCAAAGACATTACCACAGTATCACCTTATTTCATTCTGCATTTCTTAATGATCTTTTACATCTACTTTGACTAATATACATATAGGGTTGCCAGATGGTTTAACCCAAAATACTGAACACTCCCCTCCCCCCCCCAAAAAAAACACTGGGGAAAAAGTTCTGTTGAGAAAAAATAGGGGGGAGACCAAAGTTGTTGAGAAAAAAAAGGATCCCAAAAGTTGTTAAGCAAAAAAAATAAAATAATAATTAAAAAAACCAGCATGGCCCCTTTAAGAAAGGCTTTTGCGGCTTTTTGGCCCTAACAGGCTGCTGGCAGCCATCCGCCATCTTGTCTCCTTGCTCCGGGTTGAGCAGGTCCCTTGTGGAACCTGGTAAGCATCTGGGATTTTCGCCTCCTGGCTGGGAAAAAAATAACAGAAAATATTGGACATTTCAGGTGTCCGGTATTTTCTGCATTTTTTTTTTTACCAGATGGGAGGTGAAAATATTGGACTGTCCAGGTCAATACTGGACACCTGGCAACCCTATATAGATATGCATAAGAATCGTCATTGTTTGTACTTTACTTAAGACACCCAAAATTCAAAAAGACTTCATCAGAAGCATGGTATGTATGATTGGCTGATTAAAATTACTTCAATTATGTAAATTTTTTTTACTGTAACACATTTAAACTAGGGCTCACTTGTGACTATTTCCTCTGTACCCAGTAAAAAAAATATATAAAACATTAAAAATCATTGCATTTCTTTATTTACAAGGATACAGCAAAAAGTATTGCAGAATTAATCTACATACCAACATAGTTGTATTTCTGTGTGAGTTATTTTCTAAGTGAGCCTCATTTCAGTAGCACAATTGCTGTATATCTGCTCTTCTGAGATCAGTGAAAGCCATTCTGCCATCTTGCCCACTTGCTTAAAGATGAATGGCCAGGAGATTGAGGCCCAAAATTTAGATTTTTGGGGGCAGTGGTGGGGAAAGGGAGTTTTACTAGACAACATGAACAGAAACATGCCTAACGTTTTTAAAATGTAAACAATTTTTTTTTAAAAGTAAAGTATATCTCTGAGGCTATGTCTAGACTATGGGATTTTTCCGAGATGAAAAGCTCCACCGTGTCCAGGAAACGCATCTGCTCTTCCGCTTTTTTTGGCCCAACAGCAGACACGCTCTTTCGGAAGCCCTGTCTTCTTCCTCCTACAAGGAAGAAGGGATCTTCTGAAAGAGGAATTTTTTCTGAAATTGTGTAGGGCCCAGTGTAGAGGTGCCTAATTTCAGAAAAGCCTCTTCTGAAAAAACTATGGGAAAAATTGTAGAGCGCAATTTGCCTACCTTTTTCCAATAAAGCCCCGTAGTGTAGACAGAGCCTGGTTTAGCAGAATTGTTTAAGTTCATAAAAACCAGAATGCGAAAGTGACGAACATGCTTTCAAGTAGTAGAACACCAAGGCACACTCTGGGACTTCTGGAGTATGTCTACATTGCAATTAAAAACCAATGGCTGCCCAGAGCCAGTTGATTTGGGCTCACAGAGCTCAGACTAAGGGGCTGTTTGTGAGATAGGCATTGACCAGGGGTGGTCATTTCTGGCCCTCCTGCTGCCAGCCCCCTCCAGCCCTGACCCGACCGCTGCCCATCCAGTTGGTTCCCCCCTTAGTGGCCCCACTGCCCTGTCAGGCTCTGCTGCCCTAGCAGGCAGCCCCACAGCCTCTGCTCAGCGGTTGGGTCAGGGCTGGAGGGGGCTGGCAGCAGGAGGGCCAGAAATGACCACCCCTGGTCAATGCCTATCTCACAGTTAAACAGCCCCTTAGTCTGAGCCCGAGTCAGCTGGGTCTGGGCAGCCTTGGTTTTTAATCGCCCAGCAGCCCTGCTGCCTTCACACACTGAACTCTCAGTGCTGCTCCATTTAGCCCTGCAGCCGCTACGCTGTGCTCCTGCTGCCACCCATTGGTCTCCCACGACCCCTGCTGGGAAGCCCCACTACCCTGCCAGCTTACAGAGCTCCCAAGTGCTAGCCCTCCACTGGGACTCTCTGGTCCTGAAACCTCCAGAGTGGACCAGAGAATCCCAGTTAAGAGAATTTCAACCTGTAGTGCAAAGAGGGTGTAAAAACATTTTGATTTGGTAGCATTGTAAACCCTTTCTGTAGTGCAAACAGGTCTGCAAGGTACAGTACAGAAATTGTTCGAGTCCACAGTGTCTTCCGGGGGAGCTTTGCCTTGGAAAGACTGAGTAAGAAATTTAAGGTTTGCTCAATACAAATATTATCAAATTCAAATATTATCTATGACGTGAAGAATAAAGACAGTCACAGCTAGCCAATTAGTTTGTACAGATGTTTCCATATAAAAAGTTGATGTTGGTGTAAAAGAATAAAACAAAAATAAGTTGTAATGCTATTTATAAGATCTTCTGAGCCTTTAAGATGTGTACACAAAGGAAACTGAGGTAGCTTCTTCTCATTTCAGTTATATTCTAACTGCCAGTGCTTGATTAACTTTATGATAGTGCTGTTTAGAGAGCTTGAATCTTCATTGCCTTTCATGTTAATTCATTTCTGCTCGCTCTTTGCATCAGGACATAGGTTTTCTTCAACTGTAGGCTGCTCGGGCTTATTGTATTCCTGTAATATTAAACATGAGTATCGCAGTCCTCCTGCCATGCTAAAGAAAAGAGAGCAGACACAGGATCAGGGATACTTGCTGACAAAAATAATTTATGTATCTAACAACTTTCCTCCCAAAGATTTCAAAGGGCTTTACAGACTGAGAGCCAGATTTTCTGCTGGTGTAAATTTGTATATCTTAGAGCTGTACTGATTTACATAATCTGAGAATCTGGTCCTGAATACATGGGAGTAGGAGGAAATCAATAAATAACCATTTTTAAGGTGCCCATTTGGGGTGAGATGCAAGTAACACAACAGATGTTAAGAACTGAAAATGAAGAATGATTACTCCTATGAAAGTAGACCATCCTGGCACACAAATTCAGTAACAAGTAACAGGGATGAGCACATCTCACTGGAATCAAAATTCCCATTTCCTGCAATACTTGGAGTTTCCTTAGATGTCTCATCCACAAACTGACAAGGCCCAGCTCTGCTCATAAAAAGTAATGAGCTACAGCTCCCAGTAGTAAAACTGAAAGCATATCTATATCATTACAATCTTACCTTGACAAAATAAATATATTGAAAGAAACATAAATAGACATAAAAATTAGAACTAATCCTAATGCACTTTACGTCCTCAGGCAAGATGTAGCACTTGCCCACCCATGGGTTTCAAAATTACCTCAGTCAAATTGGTCAACTGAAACAAACAAACAAAAAATCCCTGTCTTCATGAAGGAATAGTTTCTCAGTTTTACTAAATGAAGACCATTCAAATTCCACTCACCAGATATTTAGTCCTATAAAGTTTAATATCGAGAATACGTAGTCTCCACCAACAAACATTCCAATGTAAGCAATGGATATATTCTGAAAAGAGAGCAAAAGTCAGGCATTTACAAAATAATTATAGTCTCTGAGAATTTAAATATCACTAAGTTAATTTGCTTTTGTACATGTTTAGCTGTTGGCCCTTCAAAACTATTACTTGAATCACGTTCATAGTGTGACGAGTTTAGTGGTAACGTAATAATAATATACAATAAACATGCATCATGTTCCTAAATATTAACAATTCACTACAAGCTGATTCAGGTAGCAAGTATTTAAAGGACCAGAAATTCCAAAGCCTATTTCTTTCATTCTACCTTCTTTGAAGGGCATATTTTCAGCTGAGCTCAGCCTCTTTTGTGAAAATCTCTGCACCTGTGTCTATAGCTTCTTGATTTAGGTTTGCAATTGTGTAGAAGTGCGGGCATTCAAATTTGCACCCAGCTATCCAACTGTAAGCACAAATTGTGCCACCAAGAGCCCTTTGTTGACAGCTTATATAGAAACTCACTATATCAGCAAGACACTATGGCTATGTCCACACTGCTCTCTCTTGTGCAAAAAAAAAAAATGCAAATGAGGTGAAGCGTGGAATATTGCCATGGCTCATTTGAATAATTAATAAGGCTCCATTTTTGCACAAGAGGCTTTTGCGCAAGACCCAGACTTCCTTTTTTTTCAGGAAGAACAGCTCTTAGGCAAGAGAGGGGTTTTGCGCAAAACTGGAGCCTCATTAATTATGCAAATGAGGTGCGGCGATATTCTACCCTTCACCTCATTTGCATATATTTTTGCACAGTGAGGGGGCAGTGTAGACATAGCCTTAATGTCTGAATATTCCTCATCATCTATTTCGGTGTTCTCACCCTTTTTCTCTACTGCCACTTACCTTGATTGCACCAACCACTGATGTGGTAAGAGCAGAATTGTAGTGGCTGCACAGGACTGTAGAATACATTAAGAGAAACCTAAGATGAAGAAACAAATCTTAGTAATTCATTCTATATTAGGGATGTTAAGAAGGTATTTCACTAATCGTGTAGCTGATAGAATTTTTATTTACTACAGGATTAGTTAATAAGGATAGGCACTCAGTCCTGGCTAGTGCTGGGTCTGGGAGCTACCCCTGCTGCAGCTAATCCCTGCCCGCCCAGCTCTTACTACATTTAAAATGCAGAGATGCAGCGGAGGTAGCTCCCAGACCTGGTGAGAGCCAGGACTGAGCTGGGCTTGCTTAGTCCCAGCTCACGCTGGTTTCAGCAGCTCCTGGCCGCAGAGAGGTCCAGAAGGGAGCTGGGATCCCTTCCCTCCCCCGCAGACAGAAGCTGCTGCCGGAGCAGCCTCTGCCCACAGCTAGCCGGGGCCACTGCAGACAGGGGTAATCTCTGTCCGAGGCAGACCCAGGCTCACCATGGGCAGAGGCTACTTCGCAGCAGCCTCCCCAGTCCCCCTCAGTGCTGTTGCCTCTGATGGGGGGGGGGAGAGGCAGGGACACCTGAAACTGAGATACGATCCTGGGGGTGGGGGGAACTGGCTTTTAAGATGGCTCCCCCCAGAACTGGGTCCTGATCCCTTTCCTTGCTGCCTCTGATACAGAGGCAGCACGGTGGGTGCGGGGGGAATGTGAGTAGTCGACTACTCAACTATTCCATATTAATCTATTAAACAACTCAGCATTATACAATCGTATTCCAGTTAATTGGAACTAAAAGGCTTAATGATTTTTGAAGTAAAAAGAACATATGCCTGGCACTTTCCTCTATTTTTATTTGCTCTGATAACTAGAGCAAAGGCTTTTTTTTTATTACTATTCATCATATTTTAGCACCCAAACTGTGCTATGTGCTCTAAAACACAGCACAGTTTGGCTGCTATAAACTTAAAACAAATAAATAAACATGAGCCGTGCCCTACAGAGCATGCAACCTATTAAACTCAGTGAAATAATAAGCTCTTATAATTTGAAAAGAGGTGACAGATACAGTTGAGTAAGGTAACATTTTAGAATTGTGTTTCTGTCCACCACTGTTAAAAATCAACAAATGCAAGCAACTGTTCTGATCATAATCAACATTCTTGGAAATCTCCCGAGCTTTACCCTCTTACATTTCAGTGAAGTACAGTCTCCTAGAAATTCTCAAAGAACTACCTTGAGAATTTACTTTTTTCTGGCTAACTACAATTCTCGGAGATGAAATAAAATAGAAGCAAAAATCTCTTCATTTTTTCATTGCCTTCTTACCCCAAGAAGCAGGACAGAAGAAATTGAAATAGAAATAAAAAATTGGTCCAATGAGTGAAATCTCTAGCCTATTAAAAAGAAAAAAATATCCAGTTAAATACTGTACAATTAATTATACACATACATAGAAACAATGTGAAAATGAAAATGTCCAAAATAAGAAACAATTTATTACAATTCAGGATAGAATTATGAAGAGTTTATATTCACGTAGGAGACAGTTTTGTATATTAGCAGGACTAACAGTTAAATTGACTTGTAACATAGTCTTTAACTTTGATATTATAGCAATCTTTACAGAGCAGACACATTAGGCAACATGCTGCAAACACTGGGCAAGCAATAAATAGTGCTTTATATAGATTGAATTTTGGTTTTTAATTCTCATTGATGCTGTTGACTAATAGTGAATATCATTAAAAAGCAACAAACTAGAATTTACACTAAAACTAGTGAAAGAAAAAAAAATCTTCACCAGAAAAAGGCATCTATTCCATATCAATGTATTATGTATTTACAGTTTTCAGGGCCTAATCCTTCACCTACCGAAAAGAGTGGATATAGGATCAGACTTCCAATCTTTCATTTCAGTGAGATTTTACAAATGAGCATGCTTTTTGAAGGTTTTCAAACATGAGATTAGATATAAGAAGCTCTGGGACCTATTTCCCACCCTGCCATAGGCTTCTGATGCAACCCAGGGCAACTCACTTAACTTGCTTAGGCCACAGTTTTCAACTGGACAGCTGAGGATGATAAGTCTTAATCTTACGGGATATTTTGTGGCTAAAATATGTAAATATTTGTAAAGCACTAGGAGATCTTTGGACAGAAAGAGATATAGGACCAATCATGCAAAACATCCTTACTCAATTGAACTTGTTCTACTCAAACCAGGTAAGAACTACAGACAAGTTGGTAGGACTACTCATACAAGAAAGTTTTTTCAGGATCTGGATCCAGGACCCAGGATTACAGATACAAAGGGGATGGACAACAGTATCAAACACTATAATTTAGAGGGCTGGGGAAACCTGACCTTTGGAAACTTCCTCAGTTTTTAAAATAACCCATTCTTTCTTTATATCTTTATAAATAAGGGCTTGTTTTTCATAAGCAAGATCTAGAGCCATGCCTTCTTTTACAACCACATTCATTGATTGTGCCAAAACAGGAACCTATGCAACTACAAAAAGGAAGGGCACCTGTAAGAATTGTTTACATTCACGTCTTCAGTTACTGGGCACAGATGGTAAATGTGCATGCCAAGCACTCAAGTCTTAGCTGTAGTTGCTTTGGAGATTAACAACAGTTTGTCTGAACCTCTGTCATTTCAACACCAACTATACACTGCCGTGTGGAACTGAACATTTTTCTGTCGCTTTCATATATATGTGTTGGGCACTATTTTCTTGGAAGTACACACATTTTTGCCTTCAAGGGGAAAAGAAGCCCTTACTCTGCTCCCAAAAATATGCAATTGTGTGTGTGGTGGTAGGGGAAATAAAAACACTCACTTATGCTACAAAGATCTGTTCACAGTGTGCAAGGGCAGTAGGAGTACTCTGTATCTGAAAAATGTAATTTATCTAGTCAAACAAAAGGCTCACACATCCCTCTGAAGGCTGTTCCTTGGGAAGAAATACAACTAAACAAAAACTTCACACATCAGTTACTACAAATGTGTCAGTAAAATTAATTTCCATGAACTCTGATGATAACCTGGAGTCATGATTGTTATAGTTACTGAAGACACTTTATTTCTGTTTTGTCAGTTCATATACCAAGGATAAATTCCACTAACAATCAGCCAGTTGGATTAAGGGAAAATTAACAACAGACACTCCTAGATCCGTGTTTCTCATCCAGTGGTACGAGTACCCTTAGGGATATTCGAGAGAAGTCTGGTGGGGTACGTCAACACAACTTAAATTTGGAGAAAACTGTATTTTTGTTTTAAATTTTACAGTGCTTTATTAGTTTTGTACTTTTTACACCCAAAAATATCATCGCCCTCCCAACTACGATTAAATTGTTTAAGCAAATGTGTTGCAATGGTAGAAAAAATTGTGTGTGTCTGAAAACTGTAGGTACTGGGGGTACTTATATTTTTTTTAAAGGGGTACTATGGAGGCAGGAAAAGGGAATAAGGGAATTTGTGTGCAGCCATCTTGGTCTTGTTAACAAGAGAGCAAGAGTCAGGCTAAGTCTGTGGCCTGACAATGTGAGATCTGCAATTAGACGCTGCCTTTGCCTCTCGCCTCCATACAGAGATAAGGATAGAATGCTGACTCTGCCAGGACCTTGAGATAAGGAGCATCTGGGTGGAACTAAAATAACTGTTAGCCATTGGTGTTTGTAATGGGAAGGAGACTAATTGTTATTGTTATTATATCTAAAGGACAGTATATAACTGCTTCATAATTGCTTGTATTCGAGGATCTGCCTCGGGGTGGGGGCTTTTCCCCCCATCCGAACCAGTTTTCCCTTGCTGCAGCTTGTAATAAAACTGCCTCTGGCTACTTATTGCTTACAAACACAGAGAGAGGACAATGTTTTCTTCCACAATTTGGTGCCGTGACTCAGATTCGAACCGAGGTTGCTAAGAGCACCAATGCAACAAAAATTTCTGTTACATGACAAGCAGGTAAAAAGAGGCATCTCCCTGGATCTGCAGATCATTCATCAATGTTTCAACATTACCATGGCATTTTCCATTATTTGAAGTAAACATTCATCATATTGGGTCAGCTATAAAAGTGTCTCCTATTCACAGTAATGGGGCTGAATTCTAATAGGCACAAGTATGTGTTCTCAATAGCTGGGATATATTTGTAAGGAGAGGATCTTTTTTAAAAATAAAGTGTGCATGAAATTGCTTGTGAAAGGTGCCAGAGCAATAGCCTATGACAATGCAATGCTTGATTTTTTCACAAAACAAGCAGAGCACAGACTACAGCAGAGTAGACTTCTTCGTGCATTCCCATCAAAATGCCTCAATCCTCCTTACAAGGATCATGTCTAAGTGTGAGAGAGACGTTCAGTCTCTATAACCACATGAGCTTAGCCTTCACTGAGACTGAGAGAGGGCCAATATTATTATCCCTGTTTTATAGATGGGGACACCAAGACACAGAGCTGTGATGTCCAACAGGCCAGTGGTAGAGCCAGAAACAGAATGCTGGTCTCTGGTGGTCTATCTGCTATGAAACACAGCCTCCACTGATGTGCTATAATTATCTACGAAGAGCCAACTGAGCTGTCATGGGGTTATAACTAAGTGATATGTAGGTCTCAAGTGGGAATAGTATCTAGCTAAATGTGAATATTCTCTCTCTGCTAGAATAAGAGATGGCTTGGAAGTTGCTTTCTTTGGCTACTCCCAGCCTCATTTTAGAGCATTTGGCAAAACTGAAAGCTCATGTAAATCACATGACATAGTTGGAGCCTTATCTTGGGCATACTAATTCCACCCTACATAAGAATGCAAGAATGGCCATACTGGGTCAGACCAAATGTCCATGTACCCTAGTATGCTGTCTTCTCACAGTGGCCACTGCCAGGTGCCTCAGGGGGAAGGAACAAAACAGGTAATCATCAAGTGATCCATCCCGTCGCCCATTCCCAGCTTCTGATAAACAGAAGTTAAAGATGCCATCTCTACCCATCCTGACTAATAGCCAATTAGTCATTAGTAAGTTTTACATGCTAACTGAAAGAGGACTAGTAATGTGGCTACAAACCACTAATTACAGCAAGGGTTTGAAGGATCTTTCTGGTGAACAGAAAGCCCACTGTATATAGAATCCAAATGCTGGCTTCCCAATACAGAGGGGAAGGTGTCTAGTGAATACCCATGAAGTAGAGTCTCCAAATGAGAGTTACTTGAGAGCAGTAATGTCATAATTCTAAATGAAATGGGGAAAGGACAGAAGGAAAGACTATTGTACTAATTATTGTCGTTTTATTCATTTTTATCATGAACAGAAAGAATTTACAATGTTGTTGCTCATCATGTTGAGACATTAGACTTCACTACATTGAAAAAAAAAAATCTTCCTAGCAGTCTGAAGAATTCATGGCCAGAACATAGCTTGGGACTCCATGCAATCCAAGCAAAATTAATAGGATTTCACAGGGATGTAGTTCAGGGCAGAATGTGGCCCTAAATTTGGAGAACAGGCTGAGAGCATTGTGTTCCAAGGAACTCTAGATACAGCAAAATAACTCAAAGGGACAAAATAATTAGGACTGTGTACTGGTGTGAGATGTCTAACTGTGCTGCTCACCTTCTGAAGGTCTCCAGTGAAGAAGCTAATAATCATTGTGGGTATCAGCATAAAAGCAGCATTATAGAAAAGGACTCCGTATTTTCCCAGCTCCTGTGAAAAATGAAACATGCCTTTTGGAAACCTGGACTATTTGATAACAAACATCCCTTTAATGTCCCTTCACGCAATTTATTTATGAATGTGCAAAACTTCATGCTATATAATTTAAATGACAAATTTGTTTTTAGGTTTCAAAACTAAACACTGAGCTGAACTACCATTCCACTTAGCTTATTGGCAGATTTAGTAAAGCAACACTGCAATGGTTCATATTCAGATATACATACCCATAACCATACACAGTTAGGGTATGTCTATACTAGCCCCCTAGTTCAAACTAGGGAGGCTAATGAGGGCAACCGAAATTGCAAATGAAGCACGGGATTTAAATATCCCATGCTTCATTAGCCTGTTGCTGGGCGGTTGCCATTTTGGAAATTGATTTGCCAGAAAGAATGGAGAACCTCATGAGGTTTAACTGGTAATTTTTGCCCGAAAGAATGGAGAACCTCATGAGGTTTAACTGGTAATTCAAAGTAAGGGGTTTATTTTGGAATCGCCCTTCTCTGCTGTGTGTAGACACGGGCAGTTCTTCCGGGCTAGTTAATTTCCAAAATGATGACTGCCCGGGAACATGCTAATGAAGCGCAGGATATTTAAATCCCATGCTTTGTTTGCAATTTCGGTTGCCCTCATTAGCCTCCGTAGTTCGAACTAGGGGGCTAATGTAGACATACCCTTAGAAACTCAGTTAGACCCATATCTTGATTGCTTTGCATCATACAGCTGAAGGAGTTAACCTGCAATAGCTGTCCATGGGAAAACACACAACATATAGCATAAAGGAAGTCTTCAGTCATGTAGGGCTGGCACAGTGGCTCCTACGTCACATCCCCAGAACTAGTGTAGAGGGTGTGATGAGGAGAAAAGGGATGATCCCAGGGTAGTAATATGGAGCACTTCAAGTCACTGGCAGCTGATGTAACCTACAGCAAGCCTGAGACTGCTATATATTTTGTTTGAGGACTTGCATGCCACATAGAAATCCAAAAATCAGAGTAGTGAAAAGGCCTTTTAGCCACACTGTGTAGTCCTTGAATGCAGCCAGATATCTGGGCTTTTAATTTTCTTAGTTTAAAATGAAAGTTTAAATTCTTCAAAAATAGATCAAGCCATGAAAGAACTGCTGATAAAGCATAATGCACAGAATAGACTCAGTTTGACTTCCATAACTGCAAAAGAACATATACCCATTCTAGGGCTGAAATCCAGGCCCCACTGAAGTCAATGGTAAAACACCCATCAACTTCATTAAGACCAGGATTTCATACAATGCTTGGGGTTTGAGGCTATAAAGCCTGCCTAATTTATAGCATTTATTATTTTGGAGAGTTAATCGTTTCTTGAATCACAAGGGATTGGTGCATAATCTATTATTTTTGTGTTTGTTTATTCTTGCCTGATTTTGGTTCTGTCATTTTTGGGTTAGTGAAATGAAAAAAAATGAAGGAAACAAGAATTAGAACTTCAAAATGGCTTCATTTAAAAAATAACAAAGAATAAAATTCAGAGATTTTATTAGTTTGGAGGGGAAACTGTAAAATGATTGTACAGTAATATCCAATTGTTTAATGGGGCTACAATACCACTCATATGGAAAGAGGCAACCCTCCTCAAAGTCCTTACTTATATACTTCAAATATGTTATAGTAGAACCACCTAGTTGGGCAAGATAGTTCATTTTCCATCACATTCAGTCATGGGGCTCTCCAATGCCACCTGTAGTGGCAACTGTTGTGGCGATTCTGGTATATTTAGTGATATAAAATCTATGACTACTAAGAACTGAATAGAGATTAACATCACTTCCAGCTCGTTTTATATAATCTTTTGCTTTGATAAAGATCATTTGTGACCAAAAAGATGTTTTCCTCCAAATACACATCATATTGTAAGCACATTTTGTTTTTACTCTGACAGAATTTTTTTTGAGAAAGTAGGGTTTATTTTTCCATCTTTAGTAAAACAAGATTATGTTACCCTCTTCCTCAAAGGTTAAAATGAGTGAAAAATCAAGTATGTTACTGACCCTTGCATAGGTTGAAAAATTCATAATAGCTTTTCCGTAAGCCAATCTATATTAAGAACATGTATAATACCTGGAATATGAAAAAGCAAATAAAATTGACTATTTGTTAAATTTAGAGTTATCTCACTCACACTGAAGAATTCACATAATAGTAGCTCTTTTTCCTTTACCTCGTACATCATATAACTAAGAGCAATCTGTTCACCACAAAATTACCTTTGGATCTATTTTCTGTTTAGTGTATACTCCATTTGCTGCTGAGAAGATATCATTTAGCAACACAAAGATGTAGCCTTCCAAATTAAAAGAAAGATCTGATCTGGAAAAAAATCACAAGCATGCCCAAAGAAATATAAACTTTGAAAATCCCAGCAAATTCAGGATTTATCCTTACATCTTTTTTTTTACTCTGAACTATTTTACATTTCCACAAACATGTCAATATAACAAACATGTCAGCTTTTCACAGAAATTCTTACAATAAAAGACTGTTCCATTCTACTTTTGCCCAGTTTTCCTATCTAGTTCAGTCTTGACAATGTATGCAATACTTACTGAACATTTTTAACACAAGCAATAACGACACATTAGAATCTAATCAATTTGTATAGGTAGACTCCGATAAGAAATAACTCTCTTCTATTTTGTTTGGTTACTATTCTCAAATAGGGTAATTTGTTTAAACTATGGTGGCACCATTAAATTCATGCCAGATGGAAATTATTTGCTTTTTACTTGTATGTAGCTAACCAAAATATGCTACATTTCTTATGGAATTCCATCTGAATAAAATAACTTTCTAACAGGAAAAGCAGAAGAGACAATAGAACACACCCCATTATCCATTCCAAATTTAAACTTGTCCAAAATTATATGAATTATATACACGGTCTTCTCAAAGTACATGAAAATCACCAGACATCCTTGAAAGGATCTGAGGGCGTGGTTCTTATGAATGTCTATGTTATATTGAGTTTTATTTTAGAAAAAACAGTTGCACGTGTGTATTCTGAGCTTGCTGTGTTATCTATATTAACAGGTATATGTAAAACCAAGTAAAAAACTAGATTACAGAAACATTGTTCAATTAAAACACATTTTGCCTTATAAGTTTGTAAGCCCATCCACTTAATAGATCTCTTCTCTAATTTATTTCTTTAATAGGATTTGCATTCATCTAGGAGCATATTTGCCCCTTCACAACAAAGAAAAAAATAAACTTCAATACACTACCTAATGAGAACAAATGAAAATCTTACCCAGCAGCTATGAAAGCCCCAAGAATGATGGTAAATACACTGATAATAATACCCAGGGAATATCGTTTCCTGTAAACAAAAATTAGATAAGTTAATATTTAGAATATTAAGAGAGAAACTAACTGGCTTCCAGTCCATTTAAAAGGCTTTATAAACAATTAGTATTTGGAAAATAATTAGAAGGACAAATCTTGGTGGCTGTAAGCAGGCAACGTTCTTTTTTGATGTTAAGGAGAATTCTGCCTGTAACACCATCAGGATTTGATCTTGTGAAAATATAAAACCGTTAAGTAGTAAAATCTGCAGTCTGACAGATTCTTGTTAATGTTTTGCTTTACTAATCTTGTCATAATTTAAATATGGTCTTTCTTGACACACTGTCTTGTAACAAAATGCTAATACTCTATTACTTTGAGTTATGTAAACACAGCTCAGTAAACAGTGTCACAAAGGCTGCGTCTAGACTGGCATGATTTTGCGCAAATACTTTTAACGGAAAAGTTTTTCCGTTAAAAGTATTTGCGCAAGAGAGCGTCTATACTAGCATGTGCCTTTGCATCTTGCGCAAGAAAGCACCGATGGCCATTTTAGCCATTGGGCTTTCTTGCACAAGAAATTAACATTGCTGTCTACACTGGCCCTCTTGCGCAAGAATACTTGCGCAAGAGGGCTTATCCCTGAGTGGGAGCATCAAAGTATTTGTGCAAGAACCACTGATTTTGTACATTACAAAGTCAGTGTTCTTGTGCAAATACTCATGGCCAGCATAGACAGGCGGCAAGATTTTGCGCAAAAGTGGTGGCTTTTGAGCAAAATCATGCCAGTCTAGACGCAGCCAAATTGTCAAAGGTCCTCTGCTGCTATATAATTTCCAAAGTAAAGCCGAGAAAAATACATTTCAGTGCTGTGGGAGTGTGATAAATTCTGCCTCCAGGACAGTGGTGCAATGGGATGGCATTTGTGTAACATATAGTCTGATTTGCTCTACAGATTCAGGGACCGGTTGTAAAAGAAATCAGAGCTGTAATATCAAAAAAGTGATTTATTTTTAATTAATTTGGCCACAGAACGAGATTTACACAGTTCAGTAGAAGTACATTTTGCTTTTCTGAGCAGATACAATGTAAGGTGCAACCCAATAAACTGCTCCCCAAGTAGCCTCCTGCATTTTTCCTCTGACTTCAACAGGGCTCCTTGTGGGCTCACGTTTGCTTGCTCAGAGCAGCTTGCAGGATTGGAGTCTAAAAAGAGCAAACCTTATCCAAACAGCTATTTGAACCAAACCTTGTTTATCTTACTCAGGTGAAGTGAAGCTAATGGACTCACTCATATAAATAAAAGTAAACAGATTTTGTCCTAGATCCACCAAAATGTATTTCTTTTATTGTCACAGATAAATTTTAATTAGTTTCTAGTCTTTGCTCTGAGTTTCTCTCATCAGTGAGTATCAGCGATGCAACAGCCTAGCCAAATACTACAAATGCTCCACTTGGTAATGACAAAATAAAATGGTATTTTGCAAATGAAACAAACAAACAAAAAATTCACCCAAGTATGATGATTTCCAGCAGCAGTGTAAGTGGAATGGTGAACTTCCTGAGCACTGTAAACATCGGCAAACTGTCCAAATAAAGGGGGGAGGGGGAAAAAACGATGCAAGCACTGAATGGAATGCAAAGCATTTTTATTCATTTACTTCTTACTTAACTTTGCTAAGCAGGAGAGGAACTATTTACACTAGCATTACGAAGTTAGCAGAATACATTCTTGGCTTGTTACCACACACAAAAATGTCAGTCTGACACCAGATATCATAATCACTAAAAATAAAGAGGCCTGCCAGTTTTTCAAAACAAACAAAACCCAGGTACCTGTTACAAAACTACTCCGAGTTCAAAAAGAGGAAAAGGAATAGAAATCATCGTTTTCAAATTCCACCAAATGCAGCCCTTATGAACTGATATTTGCTGTAGAAATCCTGCTTATAATAAATAATGAGGATTTTTATTGTACAGTTTAAAGATGGCCAGCGAATGTAGCTCTGTAAATGAATTTAAAAAAATATAATTCAAAGGATGGGGCTTAACATCAAACAGGTTTTGTGTTTAAAAAATGAAACACAACTAAAAAAGACAGAACATACTAGAAACATGTAAGATGGTAGTAACCCTGTCTATTAAAAATAATGCTGCATTTGAATAAAAGATTGTTAGGATGCACAGAATTATGTATTATGGGGTCTTGTGGATTTACCAATAATGCCTTTGCAGCAAATGATTTTGAAATTAGACACTTCATCCACCTGGACCAATTCATTCCTTTTATAAGGTAATGACTAGTGACCATGTTTAAAAAATTATACAAATCCTAGTTTCAGGCTTAGAAATCTTACTACTCACTCAAATCTTGGATTTATTCAAGATCTATATTTTGTCTTCAGGACAAATTATTTAAAAAACTAGATGTGAAGTGGAAAATTCCATATGGTGAGTTCCATATAAACATTTACAACACTGCGGTATTCCTTAATGTTATGATTTGAAATCATGGAGCAAAACTGTGATGAGTAAATCTAAAGGCATATTTTTGCAGTGGGAGATGGTAGGTCTTGATTTGGAATTATAATACATCAATACCTTTGCTTTTCAAAATAATTTATTAACCAAACTACAACAAAGCTCACTGTTAGATTTTATTGACCCGAAAGCAATTCCAAATTCACATGAGCGAGTGAAATATTAACTACCATATAGTCATACAGAAGAGTTATAAAAGAATAAATGATATTGGACTCTTGGCAATTATATGCTACATGAGTAAAGGGTTTCAGAATCAGGTCCCTAAATGTCTTTAAATTATAGAAAATTCATTTGTTATCTTAAAAAGAAAAAAGGAATATATTTACACCATCAAAGCCTCTCAAACTTATAAAACACACATCATTCTGAACCTTTTTTAATTCCTAATTGTGATCCAACTTAATTTACCATTAAAACACTGTAAAACACAGAAAGGTTTATAATGGTAATGTTCATGTTTTTTCAAAGGTGGTCCACATTTTACCAGAGGTTCTCTCAAAGAGCCCATTTATGGTCAAACAGACCACTTCCCCTCCCAATGACAACTGACAACTGACTCTATGGGGTAAATGTCTGACTGCATGGGGTAAACAAACATACTGCTTACACATGGAAAAGTAAATTAAGGAAAGTGTGTGTGTGTGTGTGTGTGTGTGTGTGTGTGTTTAGTTCTGTTTTGCGTATTAAATATTTAGTTTTATTGGAGAAAATTTAACCCCTGTTTTGGTCTTCATTTCACATCTCCCATGCACTCTGTTTCTCTCAGCTGGAAACAAAGGCCATCTGCCCCAGCTGCACTGTTTAGAGTTTGCAGTTCTCCGGTATAATACTAGAAATTGCTCCATAAGCTTAACTACAGCCTCAGGTGCTACTACAACCATGCTGCCTTCTATGTAGGGTTGCCAGGTGTCCAGTTTTCACCCGGACAGTCTGTTATTCGTGACCCCTGTCTGGTAAAACAAAAAACAAAACAAAAAAACAGAAAATACTGGACATGTAAAATGTCTGGTATTTCCTGTTTTTCTTGGACAGAAGATGGTGGGGACATTCTTCCCCTGCCGCGTCTGGTGGAGCAAGGGCATTTTTAAAGGTGCAATGACTTTTTTTTTTTGTTCAACAACTTTGGTTGGTTCCCCATTTTTTTTTTTTTTTTTGGTTCAACCAATTTTTTTCCTGCCATGTTCGGGATTTTTTTGTGAAAGCATCTGGCAACCCTACCTCTATGATCCCCTTGCAAAGAGAGCAAAGCACTCAATTCGCACAGCAAGTCATCTTGGTCCTGCTAGTAATTCTTACACCTGCAGCCCTGCTGTGAAGACCACCACCATAGAGCAGTGTTCAGTGGCACACACAAAATATAAATATGTATTATTTCTGTATGTCCTCTCCATAGCCCTTCCTGTTCAGTGGTACACAGGCTGATTCCACTACATGTGAATTCTATGAATCCCCTGTACCATTCTTTGTAACTCACACAAGACTTTTGTGTACAAGGGAAAATAAATAAAATAATAACTAGCTTTTATACAGGTCTTTTCACCATCAATTTCAAAACTATTCATATGCATAGGCATATAAAGGCATTTTTCTTACAGGTTTCACCCCTCTTGTTGGCCTACTCATGGAATGCTGGCCAGTCACATGAAGAGAAGACAACATTTAATGAATGAAACTGCATTCACACTATGTGGGTACAGACTATGCAAATCTCTCCTAAATGCAGCACAGAGATTGTAAACTGATCAACTGCTTTGCTTGAGATTTTCAAAGCAGTTCAGGGGATTTAGTCATAAACTAAGTCCCTTGCATTACTTTGAAAATCGTGACCTTTAACCCTATTCTTTGAACCTACAAGAATAAAATAATAAAAAACAAATGATCTAGCTATGATCTGCGCTTACTGTACCTTAGTTTGCTGGTGCTTGATAATCCACTAACGTGATTTCCAACATAAAGCAGAGGCAGAGGAAATAACTGCAATAAAATCAGAGCACAATTCAAGTGAGACCAATGCTTTAAATTACTGCTGAGGAACTTTTAAGTTATTTTATGAGTGTAAAATTCCTTCATTTCTAAAAAAGATTCTTTTTCGTAGGGGGGAAAAAAAGCCACATCCACTGAGTTTATCAAGGCAGATCCTTGACTAGTGTTCACGGGCTCCACTGACTCCAACAGAGCAACACTGAATTAGAACAGCTGAAGATCCAGCCGAATATAAGGTAACAAAGAAATACTTAGCACTTGACTAGTTTTGTAAAACTGATACTCAATTGTTAGCTTCTGCCTACTGTTTCAATTTAGTTTTAAACAGAAAGCAGTTGAGCAGGAGGAATGAAAGCATGACTGATCTTCTGTAAAGACACAATAGAGTACCCAGAGGAGTGTATATATTACTACATATAGAAGAGCTCATCTTCAAGTACAGCTATTCATTAGAGATGTTAGATATCATGTAACTGAATAGTCGTGTAACCTCATGAAATCTTCACTGTTACACAACTATTCAATAGTCCCCAGGGGTGGGGAAGGAGTGCATTCCTGGCCCTAATCCAGGGGAGACCCCTGCCAATCGATGCTGCTTCCTCTGATAAAAAGGCAGCAGTGCAGGATGGAAGGTGGGAGCTGGTCTACAAGGGGAGCTGATTTAAAAACCAGCTTCCTGCACAGACTAGCTGTCTGCTGCCCCACACTGCTGCCTCTGATAGAGAGGCAGCAAGTGTGTGTGAACATAAGAACGGCCATACTGGGTTAGACCACAGGTCCAGCTAACCCAGTATCCTGTCTGCCGACAGCAGTCAATACCAGATGTCCCAGAGGGAGGGATCACAACAGTAATCCTCGCATGATCCCACCCCTGTCACCCACCTCCAGAGAACCAGAGGCTACGGATACCATTCCTACCTGTCTTGGCTAATAGCCATTGATGGACCTAACCTCCATGAATCTATCTAGCTCTTTTTTGAACCTGTTACGGTCCTAGCTTTCACCATATCCTCTGGCTATTTGCCTTACATATGCTCTCAGGTATACTGAGTGTAATGAGTTGTTCTGAATTAAATCTGGAGTAAATGTGATCAGAGCTTGATTGAAGATCTCCAGCAGTGGAACTACATTCTAAAGAAGTCTCAGAAATCAAATCCTGAGGTTACCACCACCAGTAGTGTCTCTAATATATAATTTACCAAGAATTTTAAACATGTGGACAATAGTCAGAGAGATAATTTGAGTGCTGACCATTAGGCATGTTCATGTTAAATTTGGGTTCTACTTTAGGTACAATAAGAAAATGTCAAGAAAAAAGAGGAGGATGAATAAAGGGAATTACTAATTGCAGGGAGCTTCTACACCACCACGTGATTTAAAATATTTAAGCAGGAAAAACAAAGAAAATTTCTCTCTTACAAAGACAATTAGAAAATAAATGAAAAGATGAGAAAACCTTCTCATGCCTGTAATTTCTAACTTTTTTATTACACTGTTCAGGTGCTTTTTGTTCTCGTATAGTTTCTAATTTTGGGTTAGAGCAGGGTGCTGGTGCTGTGTGGCTCGGGGGAGGGGAGGGTGCATTGGGTTAGGATGTCCTAAGCCCAGGGGTGGCCAACCCACTGCTCTAGAGTGGCATGTGGCTCTTTGCTCCAAGAAATGTGGCTCTTGCTAGTTCTGAGCTGCGCACCCAAACTGCTCACGTCCAGTCATTCTGCACACGTGCCCCAGCACCTGGAGGGAGAAGTGCATGGCGGCGGCTCCAGTGAGACACAGGCATTAGGTTGGAGGGTGGCTGCGTGGCTCTGCAAAAGGGAGAGGGATTGGGTTAGAGCGGGAGGCTGGGGGTGCCTGGCTCGGGGTGCCTGGCTTTGGGGGAGTGGGTGGGCACATTGGGTTAGAGCAGAGGCGCTGAATCACCTTAAACTCAAAGTCTTCATGGATGCAGAATAAGACAGCCAACCCAGATGTCATATTTAAATTCCAGGGCAAAAAAGAATCAGCATGTACCTGGTTTACACTGTGTTTCTTTAAAGAAAATGTAAAGGCTACTGTTTGCCAGGCTGAAGCAATTATTCTGAGGCTACATCTATACTGCAAGGCTTTTCCGCAAGAGGAAATGCAAATTGAGCGCTCATTTGCATATGTCACACTCACATTTGCATTTCCTATTCAGATCTCTTTTGCACGAGAGGTTTTTCCGCAAAAAAGTGCTGTGTAGAAGGCTCTTTTCACAAAAAAAACCTTTTTCACAAGAGCCGTTCTTTCTGAAAAAATGAGGAAGAACAGCTCTTGCACAAAAGGGGACTTTTGCATAAAAAGGAGTCGTCTACACAGCACTTTTTTGTGCAAAAACCTATTGTGCAAAAGGGATCCGAAGAGGAAATGAAAATGCGAGCGTGACATATGCAAATGAGTGCTCCATTTGCATTTCCTCTTGAGAAAAAGCCTTAAAGTACAGATGTAGCCTGAGATATGAGTCTCTGCCTTATTGTTTTTGAACCTGTCATCTTTGAAGTCTGGGCCAGACCTGAATTTTTAGAACTATAAAAAACCACAGTCTTCGTAAGTAAAAAAAATGAGGAAACCATACCAGAGATCAACAAGCTGGAGTGAAACAGGCACTTCAAATTGTGCTAATTTACTTCTCAGTTCAGTTTAATTTTAAAAAACTTACAAGACATAATAAGGCAGTACAGGCAGTCCCCGGGTTACGTACAAGATAGGGACTGTAGGTTTGTTCTTAAGTTGAATTTGTATGTAAGTCGGAACTGGCGTCCAGATTCAGCCGCTGCTGAAAATTATGAGCAGCAATTAAAAATAAAGTTGCTGTAACTGTAACGTCTGCTAATACTTGTATTGCTCCTTTCTGAAATGGTACAAGGTTGAGATCTTAAAATCTTTTTTTTAAAGGTTTTGTTAATACTCCCTGGGAAAATAAGTTGGCTGTATGAAAACATAAACCCTTTTTTTACAATGCCTTATAGAATAATATATTGATATAGTAACTTCTCCTACTTAAATCATCCAACAGAGCTCTCTACTTTTGTCTCATCCATCTTGATTGGGATTTATATGTATCATAGATCAGAAATAAAATTTAATTTTTTAATTATTAGCTCTAAAAGGGTTTCAGATTAACTCAGTGAGCTCATTTCTCCATATGAAGATAAAACTCCAGCAGAATTTTTCTGAGTGGAAAGTGTATATTTCCCAGAGATTAATATTATTTAACCAACAATAGGTCATCCCCCTAAATAGGTTATGTTTCTTCTTAAAGATGAATGCAGGAAAATTGATAGGACAGTCTTGAAAGACACCAATATTCATGTCTTGGTCTGTTGGTTTCATTCAGTACAGCCCGGTTTGTGTAGAAATAGGCCTGTCCTGATAAAATATATCAGACCAGGGAGACGCGGAGCAGCTTTTCTTGCCCCGGAGTACACGGGCGGCGGGACCGTGAGGTCCCGCAGTCCGTGTCCTCCGGGGCGAGAAAAGCCCCGTTCGTAACTGCGGATCCGACATAAGTCGGATCTGCGTAAGTCGGGGACTGCCTGTAGTGTTAAATTTAAAATACATGGTGGGGATGCTTATTTTTAGTGTGAGATTATTACTGTATTTTCCAAGTTTTTTTTTTAATTTGATGTTTTTTCCTTGTCAAGTTCTCTGAAGATCTATGGACTGACCATGGATTATTTAAGTGACTAAAGGCTTTTGTATTGTATTTTATCCAAAATGTCCTATAAATGTTATTTTTATCACTACATTTTGTGCACTCTAGATAGATAGATAGATAGATACGTGTCTCTTTGCACTCTATCCACAGCTATTTTGGGTCTTAGTCTCTAAGGGTGTGTCTATACTACAGCACTAATTCGAACTAACTTAATTCAAATTAGTTAATTCGAACTAAGCTAATTCGAATTAGTGCATCTAGACCTAAAAACTAATTTGAATTAGCGTTTTGCTAATTCCAACTAGCATGTCCACATTGAGTAGACCCTGAACCGAAGTTAAGGCTTGCCGGAACCAGGACTTAGAGTGTGGAGCTGCTGCCTCAGGCTAGCCCCGGGCTGTGCTTAAAGGGACCCAACCCCCACCCCGGACAGACAGTTCTCAGGGTTCCCTGCTTACTTGTCTAACTTGATGAGGGACAGCAAAGCAGTCCTGTCTTGGAGTGCCTTGAGTGGCCACACTCGGCACATCACAGCACTCGGCCATCAGCCTGGGTGCACTTGCCGCAGGCTGCCATCCGGGGGCGGTCAATCAGGGGGTTGTCAGGATCCGGGAGGCCCTGCAGGAGAGCTTCCACCCCAAGGAGCCTTCAGAGCCACCCCAGTCCTCCCCATCGGGGGCTCGTGCCCCATTCCTCCCTCACCTCCTTCCACTTACCCCTCCCTAGCCCCCCTTCCTGATGTAAAAAATAAAGGACACGTGTGGTCAAAAATAGAAACCCTCTTTTTTTAACAAAACTGGGGGTGGGGGAGGATGAACCTCTGGGGAGACTGGGAAAAGGAGATGGGAGATGGGAAGAGAGAGGGTGGAAGAGGGGAGGGGGAAACCTGGGAGGAGGGAGCTGGAAGGGGGAAGCCAGGAGAAGGAGGAGGAGGGGAAGTATAAAACTATGGTACGCCATATCTTCAGTACTGTGTACAGATGTGGTCTCCTCACCTCAGAAAATATATTTTGGCCTTGGAAAGGGTTCAGAAAAGGGCAACTAAAATGATTAGGGGTTTGGAACAGGTCCCATATGAAGAGAGGCTAAAGAGACTGGGACTTTTCAGCTTAGAAAAGAGGAGACTGAGAGGGGATATGATAGAGTTATATAAAATCATGAATGGTGTGGAGAGGGTGCATAAAGAAAAGTTCTTCGTTAGTTCCCATAATAGAAGGACTAGAGGACACCAAATGAAATTAATGAGTAGCAGGCTTCAAACTAATAAAAGAAAGTTCTTCTTCACAAAGCAAATAGTCAATCTGTGGAACTCCTT